GTGTGGGGCACATTCGAGCGCTGGCGCATCCATCACTTTCTCCGAATTCAAAAGCGTTCTTCAAAATATTTCGTCGGGAACAGATCCCAGACGCGCTTAGAAAGTGAAGCTGACGATGTTGCTTTGAGCCAAACATTTGCATCGTCGCTTTTCGCACGTGGGGCGAGCATCATCAATCACTGTAAGTCAGCTGAGTTGCGCTAGAATATGAACTCTGTTATTTTGCGCAAAACTAAACCTTGTAGCAAGACTCGGAATCGCCGTATTTACTCGAGTACCACGCGCACCTCAGTTCTTTTATTTTTTTTTAGCTCACATGTAAGAAAAAAATCCATCTCTGCGTAAGACGCGCGCCTTATTTTTCAGTTCTCAAAATGCAAATTTTCGAAGCTACAAGGGGTAAAAATCTAAGTACTGTACGTACTGTGAAAGCAATCTTAAGACTTGACCTCAGCGTTAACGTTTTAGTCTTATGCGATACAAAGAGTTATTTAAGAGGCCTTAGAAGAAAAATTCTGAAGCGGGGAACAAAATGGTAAGTTTCGAAAAATTTACTAGAAAACTTGTACCCGAATATGACGGCACCTTATTTTTCGCCCCCTTTATTTTTTTCAAGGGTGCGGGTGGTACTCGAGTAAATACGGGTATTCAACACACAAATAAAGTATTCACGCGAATATACAGAACGGCATACAGTACAACGAAAACGATTTCAAGATGAAGCTTCAGGCCCTCCTTAAAATTTTTTTCAGGGAATCTAAGACGGATTTTCAGTCAATCTCTTCGCTATTCGCCGCAATAAACCCCAGAGTAAAGGGAGAACCAAAAACGCACATTTCAATCGTCAATACCGCACCTCCGCGAACGATGTGCATTGAAATGAAGAACTTTAAATTAAAGTCTCGCACGGATTCTGTCCACGACAAAAATCAAGAGACCAGAAAAAATTATTTGCACACAGATATTTTTTTTAGAAAAACCCCCATAACATGGGGATAGAACCCTACGGGATAAAAAAAATTGCATTAAGCAGTACAGTACAGTACAGTACAGAGAAAATCGTTGTCGACAAGATCGTTGCTGAGAGCCTCCACCTGTTCACTTAAATTTAAAATTAACCCAAGAAGCAGCTCGGTGGTTCCCATGTCCCTTTCCCAGGAAAAAGTTCACGATATGTACGCTTTCACGGAACAGCTTCATTATTGTAAATTTTCGTAATTAGTTTCAAACTCATGCTTACTGGTGAACAAGTTCCATCAACTCATGGGATACTATCAATTCGAACGATTGCACATTTCCGTAGTTCCATAAATACCGTACACATTTATAATGCGTAATGTAGATTCCATTGATTCTAAAACGTACTTTCCTATATTTTGCAAATCCAGCGGCACTGCTCTTCAGAAAATGTGGAGTTGAACATCTATTATAAATCCGTGATGAAGTTCAGCTCAAGTAAGACACGCATCTTAGTTCTCATTTCCATACGTTACAAATTACACGAGGTAAAATT